AAATCTTTTAAAAATATTTTTTAAAAAGGAGTGGAAAGGTATAGATTAATATAAATGACCTCCTAAATGGGGGGAGAATAAAGAGGTATATACAGGGGAGGGAGCTAGACTTACATGGAAGTAAGTTGTTTTATCACTTTACATCATTAAAATAAGTTTTTAAAATGTACTTTCTAGAAATATGAAACAAAACAAGCTCAAGAATATGTCAAATTTGTGGCATAATGACATAAGTATGTTGCTTGGAATATATCTTAGTTACAGGAGAGCAAACACCAATAAATCTTAAACTTCATTCAGTTGTCTTATTTTCAGTTAATAGGTATGGTTTCTTTGAAATTAGATCTATAGTAGAAAGCAAGTTACTAATTACAGTAATGTTATCAGGAAGCAGGATTATCAAGGAAGAAGAGAAGTGATAGAATAATAGAATCAGAAAAGTTAGGTGCCAATCCTATGATCTTAAATTTGGTTTGGTATCCATCCATGAATTTATTTTTCTCTTTCTAAAAGAAAGGCCTTTCTTGTTCCAGCCATTGAAAGGTCCTAGAACCAGCGGTAACCGCGTAGCAGTGAGCACTCCGTACCATGCACCACGTGGTCTTTTAACAACATTTCCAATTAAAAGACACCACGGTCTTTGTAGAAGGGGCTGATCCAAGTTGGGCAAAAAAATATGCAAGGTTGCCTGAGACACTTCTTGTGGCATATAGTGAGGAAGCTGGATACTGCTGAAGCCATGTCCCAGAGGTGGTTTACAACTTGAAGGGTCTCCCATAAAACCAAAAGGTTATAGTTTGAGTGCCAAATTCGTAATGATTGTTTTTGATTCAAACATTTCAAACACGTAAACATCAGTGGGTTGATCATGACACTTCACAATCAGTTTTACATACTATTAGTTTACTGAGACTGTTGTAACAAATTATCACAAGCCAGGTGCCTTAAAACAACAGAAATTTATTTTCTCCCTTTCTGGAGGCCAGAAATCTGAAATCAGGGTGTCAGCCACACTCCCTATGGAGGCTCTAGGGGAGAACTCTGTTTCTTGTATCCCTCAGTTTCTCGTGGTTGCTGACTTCCTTGCCTTGTGGCCGCATCACTGCAGTCTCTGCTTGTCTTCACCTTCTTTTCTGTCTGCCCTCTGTGTCGTTGGATTTAGGACACTGAGATAATCCAGGATGATCTCAAGATCCTTAACTTAATTACACCTGCCAAGACTCTTTTTCCAAATAATGTAACATGCACAGATTCTGGGGATTAGGACGTAATTTTTTGGTGGTCACCATTCAGCCCACAACAACTACCCACTCATTTTGAAAATATACTGCGTTTGGGACGCTTGGGTTGCTCAGTGGGTTAAGCCGCTGCCTTCGGCCCAGGTTATGATCTCAGGGTCCTGGGATCAAGTCCTGCATCGGGCTCCTTGCCCGGCAGGGAGCCTGCTTCTCTCTCTGCCTCTGCTTGCCTCTGTGCCTGCTTGTATGCTCTCTCCCTCTCCTTCTCTCCGACAGATAAATAAAATCTTAAAAAAAAAAAAAAAAATATATATATATATATATATATATATATAAAAATACTAAGTTTGAATCTTGGCTGTGCACCTGAGTCTTCTGGTAAACTAAATTTCCTGATAATGTAAAATTTAGATGATATTACAATATACAAAGAGTGTATATATTTGAAATTTATGTATGAATATATGTCCTTGGATTGAGCCTTGTGTCAGGCTCCCTGCTCAGTGGAGAGTCTGCTTCTCCCTCTCCTCCGGTACCCCTGCTTGTGCTTCTTTTTCTTTCTGTCTCAAATCAATAACTAAAACGTTTTAAAAAATAAATATATATCTTTAAAAATCTTTTCATATTTTTATTTGTGTAGAAAAATGTCAGTAAGGATGCTAAGCCAAATATATCATTTAGTTATTTCTGCGGGTAGAATTGGAAGAGTTTGGATGGGAATAGAAAGGATTTTACGCATCTTACTTTTTTTTTTTTTTTTAAAGAGCGCCCTTACTTGGGGCACTTGGGTGGCTCAGTGGGTTAAGCCTCTGCCTTTGGCTCGGGTCATGATCCCAGGGTCCTGGGATCGAGCCCCGCATCGGGCTCTCTGATCAGCGGGGAGCCTGTTTCCCTTCCTCTCTCTCTGCCTGCCTCTCTGTCTACTTGTGATCTCTGTAAAGTGGATAAATAAAATCTTAAAACAACAACAACAACAAAAAGATCGCCTTTACTTGACAGAGAGAGACACAGTGAGAGAGGGAAGACAAGCAACATGAATGGGAGAGGGAGAGCCCTGAGCAGGGAGCTGGGAGCCCTATATGGGACTGGATCTCAGGACCTTGGGGTCATGGCCTTAGCTGAAGGCAGATGCTTGATGACTGAGCCACCCAAGTCTCCCACTTGTACCGTCTTAGAGGGTAGTTCAGTGAAATCCTGTTCAGATGAACCTAGCATGCTGTTAGAGGCATACGAGATAGTTACTTTTGGTTGTTCTTCCTAATAAAATTGTGTTTGAAGACGGTATAGTCATTGGAAGTAATTACAAGACAGAAATTTCTCACCATGTTTTTTAAGCCTTTAATATTTAAAAGTTAGGACAAAGTTTAAGTTTCATAGACATTATGAGACCTGTACTTGGCATTGAGTTAGTTCTGGGAGATGTTCCTTACTGGTGGGTCCTGAAATTTTCATTACTTAGTTCAGCTGGCTTGAGATATGTTTATGGTTCATTTGTTAGAAAGGGCTTTTGCCTTAAGGGGAAACAGTCCAAATAGTTTGCCCAGGTGCTTCCAGATAGCTTTATTGTCTCCTTTTCAGGCTGCAAAGTGCAATTCTTATATACTTTAATAGAATTATTTTGTTTGTTTTCTGTTTATTCTCGGGTAGTATTTGAGGTGGGTTAGGAAGTGTGTATTTTCAGATTTCTGCAAACCATTAAAAAGAAGGAACATAGTCAAATATTAATACTCTTTATTTTTATTATGTCCCTTTAAGAACATTGGTCAAATCCAAGACATGCAGTAACAAGTGTTGAGAAGGATTAGAACCCTCATACATTCCTGTGGAATTGTAAAAATGGTATAGCCATTTTGGAGAACTTTTTGACGGTGCCTCAAAAAGTTAAACATAAAGTTGATGTAAGACACCTAGCAGTTCTACTTGAAGATCTGAACCCAGAAGAATTGAAAATATATGTCCAACACAAAATCATGCTAATTAGTGTTCTTCATATCATATTTCAGAATGGCCAAAAGGGGAAACAACCCAAATTGTCCCATCAGCTAATGAATGAACAAAATGCAGCATTTGCATACAATGGTCTATTATTCGATGATAAAAAGGAAGTATTGATCCATGCTTCAATATGGATCAAACTTCAAAACATGCCCAGTGAAAAAAAGCCAGTCACAAAAGAGCTCATATTGTCTGATTCCATTTATATGAAAGGTCTAGAATAGGCAAATGTATAGGGACATAAAGTAGATTAGTGATTGCATAGCACTAGGGGCATAGTTAGGGAAAAGAGGGGTGATAGCCACCAGTACAGGATGTTTGTGGGTGGTGAATATTGATTCTGGTGATGGTTGCACAACTTTTAACCAAAGCCATTGAAATTTCACACTTTAGGTGAGTTGTATCTTACGTAAATCTTATATCAGTAAAGCCGTTGTTTTTTTAAAATTGGTCAACATAAGTAGACCAAGGATGTGGTTTCTTTTTGCTGCTCAGTTATCTCAGGAATTATCCATCTTTATTTTTGTATTTTGTACAATATATCACACTGAATTTTTTCTTGATGTTGTCCTTTATGTCAGTTCTTTACCATAGATAAACCTGCTCGTAAGGGTGGGAGTGCAAAGGCAGGCATGCCAAGTGTGATAAGTTACCTTCTTAGTATCGTCTGCTGTGGCATCCTCTTTAAATGTTATCTGCTATGTATTCCTTTCTTAGGACTTAGAAGAATCTGTTGAAAAGCTGTTTTCCCATACTTGTATAGTCCAGTGAACCATGCTTCTGCATTGTTATGTCAGGTAGCTACCCACCAACATACTTTATATGGTGTCGTTAAGCTCTATAGTCGTGCCATGAGATGCCATTTTCCTATCCGGGCCTTTTCAGTCCAGTTACTGTGGAACGGAGGTGTTAGGAAGCATCTAGTCTTCCAGAGTCATCACTGACAGTAGGGATTACTGTTTTATTATTTCTGTTTTTAAGGGACCTGAATCAGCATTTTATTTGTCACCTCTTACCATGAGTAATGTACTGCTGAACTTTACAGAACATAAAAGTCTAATTGCTATTTTAGTATAGTAGGGTATAGGCTCCTGAAGGGAAAACTGTTACATAAGGCTAAGGTTTGGGCAAGCTCTGATGAGGTCTGAGACAAGTAGTGATGAAGGAGAGAGGAATTACACCCGTGCAAATGTGCATTGCTTCCATGAGAGAAGTCCCGAAGCACCCTCTCCCACTGGTGGGCCGGAAACTGTTGGTTTAAGAGATGGAGGAATGTTAAGAATTAAAGTTGTAGTAGAGTTTTTGAGGTAGAATGGTCTTACTGCCTTCATTTTAAACATAGGGAAGACCGGGACCCATTCTGTCAGCCCAGGGCTCTTCACTATATCATGTTGTCTTTAGATTTACGTTAAGAACCTACATACTATCCAGCAGGCTCTAGAATCTTCTCAGGTTTTATCTAATTTGATGACTCATGGTTTATATTCTGCTTCCTGTTTCAGTCAATCTTTTGAAAAGATCAAAGAATGAAAAGTAATGAATACTAACACCCATCCCTTCCCCATCCTATCATCCTTCACTAGAGCTTTCTGAGGAAATAATCTGAAAAGGGAGGCTGTTTGCAGTAGAACTCCAAAAAGAAGATCCTTCCCAAAAGTGTTTGGTCACAGTTCTTAATACAGGTAGCAGCATATGATTGGGGAAGGAATGGTGCTTGATACCAACTGTGATAACCACATTATTTATTGTCATTTTTCTCTCCATTAGTATCGTCTAGACTGTCACAGCCATCCTCTCCCCAGTCAGGCTGCCCATCACCTACCATTCCAGCAGGTAAAGTCATTTCTCCGTCACAGAAGCACAGCAAGAAGGCACTAAAGCAGGTAATCATGCTAATCTGTGTATATCAATTCTTATCTCCTACATTACAAATTCATGATTCTAGAAGTCACTGAAAATTTCTTGAAAGGGCATTAGGTCCTTTTGAGGAGAAATTTCATGCAGTTTCCCAATTTGGATTTAATAATTTATGTACTTGTGTGTTTTAGGTTTATGGTAGCTAGTTTTTTTTATCATGTTTTAAAAGCTCTTTATTTGTTCCTAATTTGCTAAGAGGTTTGTGTGAATGTTTGTGGTTTTTAAATTATGAATAGGTGTTGAACTTTTCAGGTATTTTTTCTTCAGCATTTATTGGGATGATCAGGTAGCTTTTCTCTTTAAATTTGCTAATATACAGACTTCCATGGCTAGAATTTTCTAATGTTAACATATACTTAGGTTTGTTACGTATTTTTTAACTTTTTTTTTTGTATTTTTTAATATGTTACGAATTTTTCTTATTTAAGATTTTTGCTTGGATTTTGCTGTTTTCTTGTATAATACTTGTACAATTTTGGAATCAGGGTAGTTCTAGCGTTAATAAAATAACTTGGGTAGCTCGCTTATTTTTCTAGATTTTGGAAAACAAGAATTGTTTTCTTAGCATTTCAGTTTCATCTGTTACTCATTTGATTCCTGCTTTTTGAACTAATTTTGGGAAAAAAAATTTTCTTTTGTATATTTCTCTTAGAAAAATAGTCTATTTCTGGGGCACCTGGGTGGCTCGGTGGGTTAAAGCCTCTGTCTTCGGCTCAGGTTATGATCTCAGGATCCTGGGATCGAGCCCCGCATCTGGGCTCTCGGCTCCGTGGGGAGCCTGCTTCCTCCTCTCTCAGCCTGCCTCTCTGCCTAGTTGTGATTTCTCTCTGTCAAATAATTAAAATAAAAAGAAAAGAAAAATAGTCTATTTCATCTGACTTTTAAAAATACTTGCATAAAGTTATAGCAGTATTCCTTTACATTTTCTTTTTTGTTCCTCAGTGTTGTACATTTATAATGTATCTTTTTTCCCTCCAGTGCTACTTGTCATCGGTCTCTGTTACCGGGCTTTTCAAAGAACTTGTTTTCTTTGAAATGCAAATGATCAATACAAATTCACTAATAATTAACTGAATATTGACAGATTACTTTTATTTATTTTTTAACTTTTTATTTTTAAAAAGATTTTATTTATTTATTTGACAGAGATCACAAGTAGGTAGAGAAGCAGGCAGAGAAAGAGGGGGAAGCAGACTCCCCACTGAGCAGAAAGCCCAGTGTGGGGCTCGATCCCAGGACCCTGGGATCATGACCTGAGCCAAAGACAGAGGCTTTAACCCACTGAGCCACCCGGGTGCCCCGACAGATTTACTTTTATCCTCAGATTGGTATAAACTAAAGAACTTAATTATCAGGCAATGGCAAGTGTATAGAAAAATGGCTACTAGTCGTTTGCTGGTGCAATATAAGTTATTGTACTTCAGAAAGAAATCTTGTGATCATCTACTAAAATTGTAAATGCACATCCCCTACAACTAAGCATTTGAACATTTTGGAACATAGATTAGAAAAATACAAATAGGGGCGCCTGGGTGGCTCAGTCTATTAAAGCCTCTGCCTTCGGCTCAGGTCATGATCTTGGGGTCCTGGGATCGAGCCCCACATCGGGCTCTCTGCTCAGCAGGTAGCCTGCTTCCTCCTCTCTCTCTGCCTGCCTCTCTGCCTGTGATCTCTGTCTGTCAAATAAATAAATAAATAATCTTTAAAAAAAAGAAAAATACAAATATACATTCCAATTACACACAGAAAAATAATTGCATTCAAGTTTGTAATAGCAAAAACTTGCAAGTAACCAATTATATATCAGGGAATTCCTTCGTAAATTATGCGATTTCTATATGCTGGGTAATTGTGCAAAATTAAGAGTTTGTAATGTCATTGTTTTATATGTATAGACATGGAAGCATCGCCACACTAGAATGTTGAATCACTAAAATTGGGTTGTATTCCAACATGCAGAGCATGATACCATGGATAAGAAATAAAGACATACCCACAAAATAATATTTTATTTTTAATAGAAACATACACACATCAGTATTTTAAAAAAGCTCAATAAGGAAAAATAAATTGACTGTAGTTATCTCTGAAGATTAAGGGACAAGACTGGTGGTCAAGAGAGTTTAGCTTTATGATTGAATTAAATGGTAAAGATGTAATCATGTATTATCTATGTAATTGAAGTTTTAAAAATTATGTGGGCCTTTAAGTATTGAAAGGAGTATTTAAAGCAAAAGCACTTTTATTAAAGAGTTTCAGAAATTTGATAGGATTAATTTCTGTCTGCTTGGATAATCTCACAGCAGTTGTATTTTTATAAGTTCTTTGAAAGATTTTACGAAGTATAAGATGCTTTCTTCCACAAGAAAAAGGCATATAGTTTCCTAAATCTTGTTAGATAATGGATGACGTGTATACTCTTCCTGTAATACCAAAAGTCAAATGTGTTTTCTTTAAAGAATATCAGTATGGAAAAGTTTGCAAATTAGGTCATGGCATGTAAAGATCTTGCCTCCAGTGTATGTTTTTTATAGTGTTAGGTGAGAAAAATTATTTCAGTATAAGTTATCCTTTACCACAATGAAGGTTTTTGTTGTTTTTAAAATAGAATTTGGAACAGTTTGTAAACTACTGAGGGAGGAAAAAACTAAGTAGTACAGTTCTTAGAGAGGCTGTAAGTTACTCTTTTCCATCAGGTATCTGATTTACACAATCACAACAGGAATAGATGAGATCAAATAGTTCTGTTAAATTTTGTGTTGTCCTAAAATATCTGGATATTGTGAGTGACAGGGAAAGACCCAGTGGCTGCCACTCAGGAAGCCTATGAACGTTTTCTGTGCTGATTGCAGAGAGTGAGAGAGAAGCTATAATCATTGATCGGACAGCACTGACAATTTTTTATACATTGTGCACCTGCCTTGGTTGTTATAAATGTTGTAGGTGAGTGTGAGCCAGACCCCTGAATCACTCAGTTAATTTTTTCCTTTGGCAGCTTAGGTCAAGATCCATTGTTGGACCATGCCTGTAGAACATAGCAGGAGATGAGTATGAAGAAGCAGTGGGAACCGAGTAGCCAGTTACTCCACACTTTTCTTTTTGCATGATTGTCTTGAAGGTTAAAGCTCAAACTGGCAATTTAGCAAGGTCATAGATTTCCAATCTTTTTCCGAAATGTAGCTTTACTTTCTTAGTTTCTGTGTCTTTTTTTTTTTTTAAACCTTGTGTTAAAAAGTTGTCTTTGCATATTTTCATGACTAAACTCTAGGAAGCTGTCTTCTTATTCATTCTGAATAGTTTAGTGTTGTGTTTGATATAAACTAGAAACATTATAGAAATGAAACTATGCTGAAATAGCCAGAAGAAACTGTACTCTTCCTAGAACTAGTATTTTCTGACTTCCCTTCCCTTCTCTTTACTGTGTTGCGGTAAATTGCTGAGGATTTCGTCATTGTGCCAGATCTTAACCACTCTTACAGGAGATCAGAATCAAGTAATTATTTAACACCTATCGTTCAAATGTATCATCTCTGAAATAGATGTAAGCTAAATATTATTTATATTTCTGCATAGAGCTAATGGAAATGGTACTCTTTTTGGTGAAGGGCTGAGAATTTTATTTCCAGAAAAGATTGGAAACCTTTAATTTTTTGCTGCTACAAGTATGGAAAAGTCCATGCCTTACTGGTGATTTTAAGTTCTAAAAATGTTTGTGAGTAATTCTCATATTTATACACAAGAGTAATACTGCCAAGAAATATTCCGACTCTTAAATATCATTTTGGGCTTGTATTTAATTGGTCTCTTGTTTACTTTGTTATCGAGCTTTCAAAGAAAATGGATAATCATCATGTTGCTCATCACTTAAACAGCAGTCATTCAGTTTCTGTTATTACTAAAAAATTATTTTATTTTATTGCTTCTAATTAGTTTTCTCTTATAGGCTCTGAAACAGCAACAGCAAAAGAAGCAGCAGCAACAGCAATGCAGGCCGAGCATGTCCATCTCCTCCAACCAGCCTCTCTCTCTGAAGACTGTCAAAGCACCCAGTGACTCTGCACCCACCAAACCTGGTAGGCAGACATGGGTGTCTCTCTCTTTCCAGTGTTTCTAGGCTATTTTTCTAATTTGTATACCTTATCATTTGTTTTCAAGTTACTGTGTTTCTTTACGTAGTCTATTACTGCCAGATCATCAGTATAAATCCTTTCAGGATAAATGGGAAAATTTTATGCAGAATCATCATGCAGTTAGGAAAAAATAAATTGGCAAAATAGGCACATTAGAATGAAATCAATGACTGACTTCCAAGATGTCTAACCCAGTAATATTGGATGCCTCTAATCAGTGACCTTACAAAATGATGTTGCCAAGACTAAACTCAGACTAAACTCTTCACCAGCTCTCTGCTTTAAAGATAAAAAGCTTTCAGGGCTCCTGGGTGGCTCAGTGGGTTAAAGCCTCTGCCTTCAGCTCAGGTCATGATCCCAGGCTCCTGGGATCGAACCCCACATCGGGCTCTCTGCTCTGCGGAGACCCTGCTTCCTCCTCTCTCTCTGCCTGCCTCCCTGCCTACTTGTGATCTCTCTCTGTCAAATAAGTAAATAAAATCTTAAAAAAAAAAAATGATAAAGCTCTTGAAAAAAAAAAGATAAAAAGTTTTCCTAAGAACATAGGTTACATTTGCGTTTCCATTAAACACAGGCCTTTGGATTTTTGTTGTTGTTTTGTTTTGCTTTTCATCTGATCCCCAGATTAGATACAGACTTTGTATTTTATTATCCATTCGTTTTGATCCAAGCTGGTTATATGGACCTGCCAAATTTAAACGGCATCTTGTAGAACTTCGCATTTTTGTTAGGAGGGAAGTTTACCACCAGAAGCAAATAATGTGTTGGGAGAAGGAAGTGATTTTATTTTACTTTTTAACTCTGAATTTGCAGACTCAAAACACATTTGCAGGGTCACATTGCATCACACAGAACTCCTTTCAGTTTGTGTTGAATGATTTGTTCAAATGGTTTCTATCTGTAACCTCAGTGTCACCAGTCTCTGATGTATCTTTTCTCTTAGCAGTATGGGAAGGAAAGCCGTCTGATGGGCAGTCAAGCAGCCCTCAAAACTCCAACTCCAGCTATTCGTGTTCCGTTCAAGTGGAAAATCCCTTGCTAGGCTTGGGGAAGAAGTCATTCCAGAGGTCTGACAGGCTCCACACAAGTAAGTTAATTTACAAACTTTGGTTCTGCATCTTAATTTGTCAACTCTGTTTGAAATTCATCAGCTCTTTTGTGGTTTGGTTCTTTTTCTGGCAGTAGGTTGTTTTGTCCGGCATTATTTGTGCCTTGCTTCTGTGCACAGAAAAGGAGAAGGACTCATAATGAAACATGGTAAACTGACCCTTTTTTCCTGCTCCCTTTGAAATCCCACTGAGTTGGGAATATGGAAATACAAAAGATCAGATTCATAAGAGTGAAGAAAACAAGGAGACAACAGATCAGCAAGCAGTGTCAAGAAACTCTTATGAGGGGTGCCTGGGTGGCTCAGTGGGTTAAAGCCTCTGCCTTTAGCTCGGGTCATGATCCCAGGGTCCTGGGATCGAGCCCCGCATCTGGGCTCTCTGCTCAGCAGGGAGCCTGCTTCCTCCTCTCTCTCTGCCTGCCTCTCTGCCTACTTGTTTGTGATCTCTCTGTCAAATAAATAAATAAAATCTTTAAAAAAATAAAAAGAAAGAAAGAAACTCTGATGAGAACCGGATGCCGAGCAGCTGATGTCAATAACAAGCTAGCTGAGGCTGCAGAACACCAGAGTGAGTCAAGAATAGGAGGACCTCGTATAGCGTAGCGGGGAAGGGCGAAGTCCAGGTTTGAAAGGTAGAACCTTTTTTGAAGGTTAATAAGAAGCAGTTTGATGCCTCACCCTGGCAGGAGATAAGTGGTTTATTTTTGAGGTGAAATTCAACCATACAGACTTCAAACTCAGAGATACTACCCATGGCTAATGGCCGATAATGAGACAGTGTACTGAAATCAGGGAGATCAAGAAAAATGTAAATACCAAGAGTGATCTTTCTGCTTGGCTTCCAGAATGCTAGTAGTAAGGCATATTTGTGTCACTACAGCTTTCTTCCAGCCCCAGCTGTGTTCCAGTAGCAGACGGGTGGATTGGTGCCTTAAGAAATTGAATAGCCTTAGGGCATCTGGGTGGCTTTTAGGTCATGATCCCAGGGTCCTGGAATTGAGCCCCGCATTGGACTCCCTGTTCAGCTAGGAGCCTGCTTCTCCCTCTCCCTGCTCCTCCCCCTACTTGTGCTCTCTATCTCTCTGACAAATAAATAAAATCTTTTAAAAAATTAAAAAAAAAATAGTAGGACCATCAGAAAGTACAGAAATTGAAAGATGGGTTAAGATAATAAAAGAAATAATAAAATTCCAGAGATTTGAAAGCCATAGATTCCAAAGATGAAAGTTCATAATTGGTGTCAAGAAACACGAATAAAGGGCGCCTGGGTGGCTCAGTAGGTTAAGCCTCTGCCTTATGCTCAGGTCATGCTCTCAGGGTCCTGGGATCGAGCCCCGCATCGGGCTCTCTGCTCAGCAGGGAGCCTGTTTCCCCCTCTCTCTGCCTGCCTCTCTGCCTACTTGTGATCTCTGTGTGTCAAATAAATAAATAAAATCTTTTTAAAAAAAAAGAAAAAAAACATGAATAAAAGGAAACCTGTTCTAAGGAAATTCTTTCAAATTTTAAAACACCCAGGATAATGAGAAGATTGCAAAAAAGCAACCAAAGAGAAAGAAAATACTTCATATACAGAGATGCAAGAATTGGGATGGTAACTATCTCAATAGCAGAGTAGAGGCTAAAAGATGTGCAGCGATGCTGACAAAATTCATAGGATTAGTTTATACCAGACCCATTTATAGGTTCCAGCCCCTTCCAAGCTGTTAAGTGTGACAACAGAATTAATAATATTTTCAGACTGTGCTTTTTTTTGCTTGTTTTTATGAAATTATTTATTAAAAAATAAGAGGGTGCCTGTGTGGCTCAGTGGGTTAAGCCTCCGCCTTCGGCTCAGGTCATGGTCTCAGGGTCCTCGGATCGAGCCCCGCATTGGGCTCTCTGTTCAGCAGGGAGCCTGCTTCCTCCTCTCTCTCTGCTTGTCTCTTCCTACTTGTGATCTCTGTCTGTCAAATAAATTAAAAAAATCTTTAAAAAAAAAAAAAACAAAAAAAAATGCTGCCTGGTGGCTCAATCAAATTAAGCATCGGACTCTTGATTTCAGTTCAGGTCATGATATCCAGGGCCATGAGATCAAGCTCTGGGTTTGACATATTAGTATACCTTCTATAAGTATGTAATTTATGAATATTTTTAATCTTTTTTTTTTTAAAGATTTTGTTTATTTATTTGATAGAGAGAGATCACAAGCAGGCAGAGAGGCAGGCAGAGAGAGAGAGAGAGAGGAGGAAGCAGGCTCCCCGCTGAGCAGAGAGCCCAATGCGGGGCTCGATCCCAGGACCCTGGGATCATGACCTGAGCATAAGGCAGAGGCTTTAACCCACTGAGCCACCCAGGCGACCCTGAATATTTTTAATCTTTGGTAGTGGAATTGATGATCAAAGGGTATGCTTAGTTTATGGCAGATACTGCCTCTAACAAAAATGCACCATTTTATAATCCACCCAGAAGCAAACCAACTTTTACAAGGAAGTTGTCTGGCTGCTGCAAGGACAGTAAGGCAAAGAAGCTGGCACCTGCAGCAAGTTGTTGACTCGGTTCTTAAATTGTGCCTGGTAATCTTTAAATTATTTCCTTTCCTGCCTTACCTGTCACTTAAGCATGTTCTTGGGGAGCAGGAACAAATTTGATAGGTTCTGCTCTCTGCAGGCGCCAGGGCACCTGAGCCACAGCTCCTGCGGTACCAGAAATGCCTCTACATCCCCAAATGTAGCGTAATTTTCCAAAAGCACTGTAATTAAAATTTAAATCAGTCCAGAAAGGCAAGTTTGGATTTCAGGAATTCTTTGGGATGCCTGGGTGGCCCAGTCGTTAGGCATGTGCCTTCAGCTCAGGTCATGATCCCAGAGTCCTAGGATCGAGCCCTGTGTTGGGCTCCCCGCTCCTCAGGAAGTCTGTTTCTCCCTCTCCCACTCCCCCTGCTTGTGTTCCCTCTCTCGCTGTCTCTCTCTGTCAAATAAATTAATTAATTTTAAGAAATTATTTCTCCTTTTTTTTTTTTATAGATTTTATTATTTTTAACCAATCTCTGTATCCAACTTGGTCTTTAACTCACAACCTTGAGATTTAGAGTCACATGCTCCACTGACTGAGCCAGCCACATGCTCACATATTTCAAGAATTCTTATTTTTTATTTTACTTATTTATTTTAATATTTTATTTATTTATTTGGCAGACAGAGATCACAAGTAGGCAGAGAGGCAGGGAGCCCGATGTGGGGCTCTATCCCAGGACCCTGAGATCATGGCCTGAGCCGAAGGCAGAGTCCCAACCCCCTGAGCCACCCAGGTGCCCCTATTTTTTTTTTTAAGTATTTATTTATTTATTTCAGAGAGAGGTTGGGGAAGAGGGAGGGAGGGTGGGAGGGAGCAAGCGAGTGAGCAAGAACCTGCACAAGAAGGCGGTGCAGAGGAAGAAGAAGAGAATCTCAAGCAGAACCCCCACTGAGCTCACAGCCCAACTCAGGACTGATCCCCATGATTTTGACCTAAGCCAAAATCATGAGTTGGACAGGTAACTGAACCACCCAGGTGCCCTCATGATGAGTATTTTTTAAGTATATGGAAGAAGCTGTACATTTTGTGTAAAACAAATAATAAAAATAGATAATTCACATGAAACCTTTTTTAGTTTACATTGGTATCATTTGTTTTAACTTCAATAAAATAGTGTATATCATGTATTTTTACATATGAGATTCAGTCAGGGAAAAAAAAAACATAGATTTCAAGTATAATATGATAGAATACAGCAACCTAAAGTGGGAAGAATTAAAAAAATAATAATAAATAAAAATTTAAAAAAAAACCAAGGTCAACTTTACCAGAATTAGAGGACTTAAACTTTAAATTTTCGAAATGAGCCAGTTTGTGTGAGGCATATAAAAAAATCCTTGGGCATTATTTGATCAATAATAGATCAGAATAATTTACAACTACTATTTCTCAGTCTCACTTAAGGAGTTCCGATAAAATTTTAAGGGGCCACCTGTCTGGCTCATCAGCGGAGCATGTAACTCTTGATCTCTGTGTTATGAGCCCCACACTGGCTATAGAGCTTTCTTTAGAAAATTCTTGGGGCGCCTCGGTGGCGCCTTGGGCGACTGCCTTCGGCTCAGGTCATGATCTTGGAGTCCCTGGATCAAGTCCCACATCGGGCTCCCTGCTTGGCAGGGAGTCTGCTTCTCCTGCTGACCTCTCTGCTCTCATGTGCGCGCTCGCTCTCTCTCTCTCTCTCTCTCTCAAACAAATAAAATCTCAAAAAAGAAATTCATCTTTTTTTAAATTAAAGTTTGATTCTGATGTGAATGTACAGAATGAATGCACAAATGGTGAAAACTGTTCAAGGAATGCTGACACTATCATTTCATCGGTCATATGGGAGAGCAGAACTAGGGTGCTGTTCTCATTCCCTGGAGCCTTTGTAGAATTGTTTATGCAAACCAAAAAATGGTAACCACCTATGGGTGGGTGTGTAATTAAATGAATCATGCTAAATATGTTGGAATATAGTGCAGCTTTTTAAAACGAAAGAGATAGGGTGCTTGTGTGGCTCATTGGGTTAGAGCCTCTGCCTTCGGTTCAGGTCATGATCCCAGGATACTGGGATCGAGCCCCTCATCGGGCTCTCTGCTCAGCAGGGAGCCTGCTTCCCCTTCTCTCTCTCTGCCTATTAAAGAGGGCACTTGATGTTATGAGCACTGGGTGTTGTATGCAATTGATGAATCACTAAATTCTACCTCTGAAACTGATAGTCCAGTATGTTAATTAAATTGAATTTAAATAAAAAATTTAAAGATATATATTGGGATTTGGGGGCACCTGGCTGGTTCGGTGTATGGAGCATGTGATTCTTAGTCTCAGGGTTGTGGGTTTAAGCCTCACAGTGGGTATAGAGATTACTTAAAAATAAGGTCTTTAGGGGCACCTGGGTAGCTCAGTGGGTTAAAGCCTCTGCCTTCAGCTCAGGTCATGGTCCCAGGGTCCTGGGATTGAGCCCCGCATCAGCCTCTCTGCTCTGCAGGGAGCCTGCTTCTTCCTCTCTCTCTGCCTGCCTCTCTGCCTATTTGTGATCTCTGTCTGTCAAATAAATAAATAAAATCTTAAAAAAAAAGGTCTTTAGAAAATATGTATGTATTTTATGTTTCTGTTATGAACCTTTAACTTAAATACTTAGTAGTCAGAGTTCATGCCCTTTATGATGGCTCTGCCTCTATACAGTGATAAAAACAGAGTCTGAACCCCCAGTGCTGGGTTCAAATTCCTGCACTCGAAATTCACAGTACAATTTTGGGCAAGTTACCAGGTCTGAGCCTCATTTTCTTGATCTGTGAAATGTACAGTAGTAGCGTCTCATTTCCTAGGGTTATGTGAAAAATAAGTGAGTGAACACATATCAGTGTTTAGAATAGTGCCTGGCACTAGTGAAGCTTCTAGAAGTGTTTGGTGCTGCTGTTACTGATCATTAAGTGGAATTTACTGAGACCTGATTGTTTTCATTCCTGATTATTTTATCCCCATTTTTACAGTCACACGCTTTTTTTCTTTAATCATTTCATTCAGCACTGTTCAATATATTATGTCTGACGGTTTCAGTGGTAGCAGTACTTTTAGGTCTAAACCTTTTATTTTTGGTTTCTGTTGACTCTGTCATGGTAGAATGTCTGGGTTTGTCAGGGCAGTCTCTCTGTGAGATAGTGCTAGATTTTAATTTGTAAGATCCTATGGGCCTAACTTAAGGGAAATCCTTTCCTCTTAGGAGAGATTACTTTTGCTTCACCTTCAACCAGGAGCGGAGGTTATCCACATTCAGGATTGTGTAGCTTTGTGCACGTATTTCTAAACGTGAAATTTCTGGATTTTAGATTCCTTGCACATTAAATTCTACCATCTGTTATAAATTTTCTTCCAGTAAGATTATATTAATTTGGGACCCATCAGCAGTATTTGACAGTTGTCTTTGCTTTTTCCGTGTGTAGCTTCATCATTATATTGCAGTATCTGCCATTTTGATAGACAAAAGTGTTCATTGGTTTAATGGGCATTTAAAAAAATATCGGGGGCTTGGATGACTCAGTGGGTTAAAGCCTCTGCCTTTGACTCATGTCATGATCTTAGGGTCCTGGGATTGAGCCCTGCATTGGGCTCTCTGCACAGCGGGGAGCCTGCTTCTCCACACCCACCCCCACCCCCCGCCTGCCTTTCTGTGTACTTGTGATCTCTGTAAAATAAATAAATAAAATCTTAAAAAAAAAATACTAATACTGTAGGATTTGTTTATGGTTAGTCAACTATGAATTACCTGTGCTCATTTTTCTCATGGTAATATTTCTTTTTCATGTTGATTTATAGATGCCCTTAAACTTTAAAAAAAAAAATCTACCAGTTTATTTATTTATTTATTTTTAAAGATTTTATTTATTTGTCAGAGAGAGAGGGAAAGAGAGCGAGCACAGGCAGACAGAATGGCAGGCAGAGGCAGAGGGAGAAGCAGGCTCCCCACTGAGCAAGGAGCCCGATGTGGGACTCGATCCCAGGACGCTGGGATCGTGACCTGAGCCGAAGGCAGCTGCTTAACCAACTGAGCCACCCAGGCGTCCCTACCAGTCTATTTATTTATTTATTTATTTTTAAAAGATTTTTATTTATTTATTTGACAGAGAGAGATCACAAGTAGGCAGAGAGGCAGGCAGAGAGAGAGGAAGGGAAGCAGGCTCCCTGCTGAGCAGAGAGCCCGATGTGGGGCTTGATCCCAGGACCCCGGGATCATGACCTGAGCCGAAGGCAGAGGCTTAACCCACTGAGCCACCCAGGCGCCCCTATTTATTGATTTAAAGTAAGCTCTATGCTCAATGTGGGGCTTGAACTCAACAACCCAGAGATGGAGAGTCGCATGTTCTACCGAGTCAGCCAGGCACCCCATGTGGATGCACATTTATTTATTTTAAAAATTTTTATTTATTTATTTGAGAGAGAGGCAGAAAGAGAGAGTGCACAAGCCACGGTGAGGTGGGGGAAGCACAGAGGGAGAGGGAGAAGCAGACTCCCCACTGAGCAGGGAGTGCATGTGGGGCTCTGTCCCAGGACTTTGAGATCATGACCTGAGCTGAAGGCAGAGGCTTTAACCCACTGAGCTACCCAGGTGCCCCTAAATGCACTTATAATATGAAGAATCGTAAAGTTTTGTCAGGATTTGCAAATGTTTTTGGCAAGTTAGTCTTTTGTTTATAATATTTTTTGTCATGACTGTAACCTTTTGATAGTGACCAGGTTTCTTGACACCACTAAGCTCTTCAGTTAAAACATTTTTAGGTAATCAGAATTAAAATCGACGAAAAATTTCTGATGGCAAAGGAAAACGGATCTCAGTATGATATATTATATAGAGATTTGAATTTTTCCGGATTTCTTTTTTTAAAGATTTTTTATTTATTTATTTGACAGAGATCACAAGTAGGCAGAGAGGCAGGCAGAGAGAGAGGAGGAAGCAGGCTCCCCGCTGAGCAGAGAGCCTGATGTGGGCCTGGATCCCAGGACCCTGAGATCATGACCTGAGCTGAAGGCAGAAGCCCTAACCCACTGAGCTACCCAGGCATCCCTGGATTTTTTTTTGATAATTTTGTGTATGTGTCATGCCTTGCTTTTGTTCGTCTTAAAGAAATTTCTAAAACCCTTTTAAATTTTCCTTCTTCACAGTGTGATATTTAAAGTAGTTACAATTGTGATTTTTTTGCACTACAGAGTAAGCTATACTTAAAATAGAAACAAGAATGTAAAGGAGGCCCAAATGATTCTTTCCCCCTGTTTTGTAGGGCAAATGAAAAGGACTAAATGTGCTGAAATTGATGTTGAGACCCCAGACTCCATTCTGGTGAATACAAACCTTCGAGCACTGATCAACAAGCACACCTTTTCCGTCCTTCCTGGAGACTGCCAACAGCGACTTCTGCTGCTGCTTCCAGAGGTGGATCGACAGGTGTGTTATTTTCACACATAAGCAGTTCTGAAAAACCCTTCCGAAGCTTTCTTCACATCCCCTTTAATACTCCTTAAAACTTTTAAAATAGCTTTTTATATATACTTAAAAAGAAGTGGTATCAAAGGTGCTAAAACAAGAAAAAAGAATATTTTTATGTAAGTATTCTTAATAGTTTTGCCCTCTAAGTCTTAGAAAGGAAAAATCTTATCAGAATGTCAAGATCATGGGGGGAGGAGTCAAGATGGCGGAGAAGTAGCAGCTGAGACTACAGGTTGCGGGAGATCAGCTAGATAGCTTATCTGAAGATTGCAAACACCTACAAATCCAACGGGAGATCGAAGAGAAGAAGAACAGCAATTCTAGAAACAGAAAATCAACCACTTTCTGAAAGGTAGGACTGGCGGAGAAGTGAATCCAAAGCGACGGGAAGATAGACCCCAGGGGGAGGGGCCGGCTCCCGGCAAGCGGCGGAGCAACGGAGCACAAAATCAGGACTTTTAAAAGTCTGTTCCACTGAGGGACATCGCTCCAGAGGCTTAACTGGGGTGAAGCCCACGCGGGGCCAGTGTGGCCTCAGGTCCCGCAGGGTCACAGAAGGATCGGGGTGTCTGAGTGTCGCAGAGCTCGCAGGTATTAGAACAGGGAAGCCGGCTACAGAGACGGAGCCGAGGAGTGAGCTCACAGCTCGGGCTTACCTTGAACCGGTCACAGGCTCGGTGAGCTCGGAGCGCGGCCGGAGGCCAGGCAGACGGGAGTAATTGGACGCTGTTCCCTGAGGGCGCACTGAGGAGTGGGACCCCGAGCTCTCTGCTCCTCCGGGCCGGAGACTGGGAGGCCGCCATCTTCGTTCCCGTCCTCCGGACTCTACGGAAAGCGCTCAGGGAACAAAAGCTCCCGAAAGCAAACCCGAGCGGATTACTCAGCCCGGCCCCTGGTAAGGGCGGTGCAACTCCGCCTGGGGCAAAGACACTTGAGAATCACTACAACAGGCCTCTCCCCCAGAAGATCAACAAGAAACCCAGCCAGGACCAAGTTCACCTACCAAGTGCAGATTCAATACCAAGGAGAATAGCGGAATTGCAGAGGAGGAGAAAGCAAAGCACGGAACTCATGGCTTTCTCCCCATGATTCTTTAGCCTTGCAGTTAATTTAATTTTTTTTTCTTTATCAATTTTTTTTCTCTTCTTCTAAATTTTTTAAACTTTTACCCTTTTCTTTTTTAACGTTTTTTAACTAGTTTATCTAATATATATATTTTTTTTCCTTTTTATATTTTTTTCATTATTGGTTTTTTTTTGTTTCTTTCTTCTTTTTTCTTTTTTTTTTTTCTTTCTGAACCTCTTTTTATCCCCTTCCCCCTCCCTCACGATTTGGGATCTCTTCTGATTTGGCTAAAGCATATTTTCCTGGGGTTGTTGCCACCCTTTTAGTATTTTACTTACTCCTTCATATACTCTTATCTGGACAAAATGACAAGGCGGAAAAATTCACCACAAAAAAAAGAACAAGAGGCAGTACCAAAGGCTAAGGACCTAATCAATACAGACATTGGTAATATGTCAGATCTAGAGTTCAGAGTGACGATTCTCAAGGTTCTAGCTGGGCTCGAAAAAGGCATGGAAGATATTAGAGAAACCCTCTCGGGAGATATAAAAGCCCTTTCTGGAGAAATAAGAGAACTAAAATCTAATCAAGTTGAAATCAAAAAAGCTATTAATGAGGTGCAATCAAAAAATGGAGGCTCTCACTGCTAGGATAAATGAGGCAGAAGAAAGAATTAGCGATATAGAAGACCAAATGACAGAGAATAAAGAAGCTGAACAAAAGAGGGACAAACAACTACTGGACCACGAGGGCAGAATTCGAGAGATAAGTGACACCATAAGACGAAACAACATTAGAATAATTGGGATTCCAGAAGAAGAAGAAAGAGAGGGGAGCAGAAGGTATATTGGAGAGAATTATTGGAGAGAATTTCCCCAATATGGCAAAGGGAACAAGCATCAAAATCCAGGAGGTGCAGAGAACCCCCCTCAAAATCAATAAGAATAGGTCCACACCCCGTCACCTAATAGTCAAATTTACAAGTCTTAGTGACAAAGAGAAAATCCTGAAAGCAGCCCGGGAGAAGAAGTCTGTAACATACAATGGTAAAAATATTAGATTGGCAGCAGACTTATCCACAGAGACCTGGCAGGCCAGAAAGAGCTGGCATGATATATTCAGAGTACTAAACGAGAAAAACATGCAGCCGAGAATACTATATCCAGCTAGGCTATCATTGAAAATAGAAGGAGATATTAAAAGCTTCCAGGACAAACAAAAACTGAAAGAATTTGCAAACACCAAGCCAGCTCTACAGGAAATATTGAAAGGGGTCCTCTAAGCAAAGAGAGAGCCTAAAAGTAGTAGATCAGAAAGGAACAGAAACAATATACAATAACAGTCACCTTACAGGCAGTACAATGGCACTAAATTCATATCTCTCAATAGTTACCCTGAATGTTAATGGGCTAAATGCCCCAATCAAAAGACACAGGGTATCAGAATGGATAAAAAAACAAAACCCATCTATATGTTGCCTACAAGAAACTCATTTTAAACCCGAAGACACTTTCAGATTTAAAGTGAGGAGGTGGAAAAGAATTTACCATGCTAATGGACATCAGAAGAAAGCAGGAATGGCAATCCTTATATCAGATCACTTAGATTTTAAACCAAAGACTATAATAAGAGATGAAGATGGACACTATATCATACTCAAAGGATCTGTCCAACAAGAAGATCTAACAATTGTAAATATCTATGCCCCTAACGTGGGAGCAGCCAACTATATAAACCAATTAATAACAAAATCAAAGAAACACATCGACAATCATACAATAATAGTAGGGGACTTTAACACTCCCCTCACTGAAATGGACAGATCATCCAAGCAAAAGATCAACAAGGAAATAAAGGCCTTAAATGACACACTGGACCAGATGGACATCACAGATATATTCAGAACATTTCATCCCAAAGCAACAGAATACACATTCTTCTCTAGTGCACATGGAACATTCTCCAGAATAGATCACATCCTTGGTTCTAAATCAGGTCTTAACTGTTATCAGAATGTCAAGATCATGGAATAAACTTTATGTTGCTTTCATATTGGGAAGTGAGGTATTCAGTGAATACAGTCGAAAAGAAGTGTTGTCTTGCCTAAGACATTTAACAAGGATTTTTGAATGGATTTTTTTAAGAGAGTAAGAATGTTAATTATTTTCATTCTTTTGTTAGATTTTTTTAAAACAAAAACATTTATTGCCTTCATAATTGAGAACTTTCAAAACCCAATATAGTTTATACTCTTTAAAAAAAGATAGCTAGAAGATATACCAGAGGTTTGGGAAAGTCTGGGTAGGGACCAGAGAGATTAAGATTGGTCAGTAATAAGGTCAAAATCTGAGATTTTAGCTTTTATCAAGGAAAGAGTGACTAGCAAGTCACTCCCCCTTCTGATCATCTGTTTCCTCCTCTACAAAGGGAAGATAGAATCATGATTTTCTAAGGTTTATTCAATTCTAAAGGTTTTTTTATTCATTATTTCCAAACACATACTCTGTTCGAAGTAACCTGATGGGCTCTCCCCTCATTTCCTAATCATTATAAAAACAAGATGAAAGAGAGACATTTTCCCTAATTTACAGTAAGAAAACTAAATTTATACCCTGGTTTGTGGCAAGAGATTAAAGAAGAGTAACGTATACACCTCATCTTAGCGAATTGACTGTCAAAAATAAAATATTTCTAACTCAGAATATCATCTTTCTATTAAACTGTACTGATGTTAGTTTCAGTAGCGTAATGATGTGAGTCAGCACATAGGAAAGCAGGTTAGATTCCATTTCCCGGGAGACCAAGTAAGTCAGCTACACTACCAGCAATGGGGTAAAGAAGTAAGTAGAGCTAATCATTCCCAGCTACTGCTTCTCCCTCCTTAAAACTTCTTGGGGGAAATTACAGCTTTGGGGATGCCCACCTTTTGGTTCGAACAAGTTAGGAGGCTGACATTTCTGCAAAGTTTTTTAAGAACTTCTCATTGGGGTTTGCTCTCATCTTTTTTTAAAGGCTCGGGTTATTAGGTTGGGAATATGCTCGGACCTAACTAAAGGCCTATGAACTCTAGTGCAGGTTCCTTAAAATGGTCTTTTGACTAATGGCCCTTATCCTCTCTCAGAGGAAGGATTGCCACATAAAATTCTAGAATGAAAAGGGACTTTTTAATTTATCTATTCAATTTCCCATGGAGTGCAGGCTGGTGGGAAGTTCTTAATAGGACATTACTTGGCCTTTTTTGAGTATGGTGAGAACACATGGTAATTTGAGAAATAACGTCCCTATGTCTAGAAGTATGGAGCTCCAGTCAACTTCACTGTCCGATGCAATTTAGGGTGCTTGTAGAATCCTGGTTATTACTAGGACGGAACATCGAAAACCATATTTCATTGTCTGAGTGCCCAGCCATGAAGTAAAAAGACATAATTTAGATCAGAGAAAAGAATACAGGAGGGGAATGGGTGAAAGCACCTCTCTAGATATATTTAAAGATCTGTCATAGGAAACAGGTAAACCTGTTTCTCCAGAAAGCAGATGTGATGTTAAAGTAACATTTTTTTAACAGCTGTAGCTGTTAAAATGGACTGACTTATGATGGAGTAACTTGCTCATTTCTGGACCATTCAGACAGAGGTCAGATGACCTGTTCTTTTTTTTTTTTTTTTAAAGATTTTTATTTATTTATTTGTGAGAGTGAGAGAGTGAGCACAGGCAGGCAAAGGCAGAGGGAGGAGCAGGCTCCCTTGCTGAGCAAAGGAGCCTGATGTGGGACTCCATCCCAGGACGCTGGAATCATGACCTGAGCCAAAGGCAGCTGCTTAACCAACTGAGCCACCCAGGCGTCCCCAGATGACCTGTTCTTACAGGGGAAACTGTCACCCCTCTGTCTATCTACTCTCTAGAGAACAAGTCGGCAGTCAGCAAACTTGGGCCAGTTTCGGCCCACTGCCTTTTTTTGTAAATAAAGTTTTATCAATGTATGGTCACTTGCGTTAGTTTACGTGTGGCATAGAGCTGTGTTCGTGCAGCAGCGGCATACGTTTAAGTAGTGGCAGCAGAGGGCCTATGGCCTTTCAGAGCTTCAAATACTTGCAGTTGCTCCTTTGACAGGAAAAGTTCACCAGTTTCTGCTCTAGAGCTGGGCGGGAGTCGGGGTATGGGGGCAGATAATGTGGGCCCTGATAGGTATAGAAAGTGAGGCTGGTGGGGAAGAATTCCTCAGTCGCTAGGATGTCCGAATAGTTACTTAAATTTTCTCTGAAAAAATTGTTTTTGACTTATGGGTTACATTTAAATTTTTAATCTACCTAGGATTTTTTTTTTATTGCTCTGAAATCGGGGTTCAACTGTATTTTCTGCTTATTAATAGCCTCTTGTTTCGCCACTACATATTTGATACAGCCATCTTTTTCTCACAGTTTGAAATCCCATCTTCATTATGTATTCTATTCAGTTATAAGCAGTGTGTGTTTATGCATACTCTCTCATCTTCCACTTGTTTCTTTGTTCCTTCGAGTGTTAGTAATAATACTTTCAACTGCAGTGGCTTCGTATGTGGTATGTTTAATAATTGGAAAGGTGGTTTTTCTTGTTTTTTCCTTATGAACTTGAAAATCATTTTATTAATGACAACTCTGCATTAGGGGTTCTGATTGGAATGTAGATATTAACTGTGGGGAGAATGGCAATTTTACTCAACTTTTCTGTCTAGATCTTTTTCAGATCTGTGTTTTATGTCCTTAAATAAGATTTATGGTTCTAAACCATGATAGGAAATCTAAAATCTCTAAGAGAAAGAATCGTAAAACTTTTTGGTAAGATACCACAAATCAAGTCCCTAGGCAGATAAATGAGAGGAAATATTTTTTGTGGATGTGACAGTTTTACTATGAATAGTATGTAAGGGATCCTCACAAATTGATAATAAAAATAAGTAGCCTTTCGGAAAAATATACATAATGATAAGCATTTCACAAGATGGCAAATCTAAATATTTAATAAATATGCAAAAAGGTGAACAAAACTCCAGTAGTCAAGATAAAGGAAATTTTTACCATTTTTTAAACCCATTACAATGGCAGAAATTAAATAGTCTCGTTAACATATATTGTTCACAGGACAGAGTACACTCATATATTTCAGGTAGAAATGTGAATTGTTGTAGCCTTTTTGGAAAATAATCTAACAGTACCTAGTTACAGACACAGATATTTCGTTGCTTTTAGAATTTATTCCACAGAAGTAAAAGCTCTAGTGTATTCATCTTTGCCAGAATGCTTACTGCAGGTTGGTTGGTGATGGGAAAGTACTGGGAACAAGGTGTGTGTTTATGATTATGAAACTGGGGCATGAACTGAGGTGCGTGCCTATGGTGAAACATGTGCAGCTGTTAGGAAGGAGCAAACACTCTGCCCGTCGACTTGGGAGGGACTTCCCCAGTGTGTTACGTGAGAAAAAGAAGATTCAAAGCTTGGTCACAGTTTTGTAAGAGAAATAATAAACCTCCCAGGGAGAAACCTTCTTACATGTAGATTTATGTTTGCGGAGGATTCTTTGAGTATACTTAATGGGGAATGGAATTGAAAGAAGGGAGGAGAGGTAAACAGGAAAGAAATTTATTAGAAAAAGTGATACATTAAGTATCCAGGATGATATAGTCAGATTTCTATAAAATTAAATGTATATACATTCTTCTCTAAAATGAAAGAATTTGGCTTTCTTTGTAAGCTTCTCTTGGCTTCTTCTTTGACCCAGGTTGGTCCAGATGGTCTGATGAAGTTAAATGGCTCAGCCCTTAACAATGAGTTCTTCACTTCAGCAGCCCAAGGCTGGAAGGAAAGACTCTCAGAAGGTAAATGTTCAAACTTCTGTGCCTCCTAGATTGTGTGTGTACTTGGAGCTACTATGAGGGCATGTTGGCACCTCTGTGCCTCAGCGAGTTTTTGAGCAATTTTAGTAGGCTAAGGACAGGATGTTTCCGTAGCATAGAACTAGCTATCCTGTGTGAAATCCTATACTGACTTTTGTCTGGATCCTATGCAACCAGGTCTGGCTCCAGGTGGAGTCTAGCGATGTTTCTTCAGGAATTTAAAGTCACCTTTGAATTTAGGGAAACTAAAAAAATAGATTTTTTAGTCCCTCTACCTAAAGATTTTTGATTCAATAATTCTAGGTGAATGCCTAGGAATTGAAATTTTAATAAACAGAGTACAGAATTACAGTGTTCTCTTATGTTTGTTTTTCAGTACACGTGGAATACAAACTAACACTTGGAAGGTCACATGAAGGTGTACCAAGACATAGCCTAAAACAACTGTGAGAAGCTTTAAAATGAATACACTTGTAAGGAGAGCATTAGGAATGCTACTCCTTGCTAACATTTTGTCAGATCAGTAGCATTTAGAGTTACTTGACCAACTCATTAACATCTGTATTGTTGACTGCAGTGTTGACATTTGCCTTCCTGCTGTTTTGGGGCAGGGTGGGGGAAAGCAATTCTGTGTAGAGATGTTTTCTCACTGATTACTCTGGTCCTGTCTCTTAAAAATTTCCTTGAGCAAAGACCACTTATTTTTTTCTGAACTGCAGTCACATAAACACTTTAAAACATATGCATTACTATTACCTTTCTTTAAGAATAATTTGATGAAGGATTTTTGCCCTAACTCCCCAGTTTTTGCTTGTTTGTTTCGTTAGTTTTGTTTTTGAGAGAAAGAGAGACCAAACTGTAGCAAGAGGGAGGGAGGCAGAGGGACAGAAAGAATCTTAAGCAGGCTCTAGGGTCAGTGCAGAGCTGGAAGCAGGGCTTGATCTCTGGACGCTGAGATCATGACCTTAGCCGAAATCAGGACTCACCCAGGTGCTCGCCCCCCCTGGTTCCCCCACCACCCAGTTTTTTAAAGTAGACAGTGTCATCAGTGGTACTTTGATTGTTATCAGTGTTTCTTTTCTTTCTTTTTTTCTTTTTCTTTTCTTTTTTTGCATATGAGCAGTCACTGCTATGCCTAGTCATGTGATCGTATTTTATGAGCAGCAAAAACTTTGAACACTGTACACATGTGAACAGAAGTCAGTATGTTCCTCATTCTCTTGTATACAGTAGACTCCCTGAAAAAGTAGTTCTGGGTTGGATTCTGACAGGCAAAGTTCTCTTTTCTACTCCTGTGCCCAGGACTGTGTCCTTCAACACTTTTCCTCTCTATCCTTTTACCCTAAAGAAACCTAAACTTGAACACTACCGTTTCTATTTTTCCTTGATGTCCTGGGTATTAGAGTATAAAAAAGAGCAGGCTTTCTGAGCCGCAGTTGGAAGATGGCCTACCCAACAGATTCAGGTGTCCTCTGCTGTCGGAGAGGGAGGGATGGAGGTAGTTGGTGGTATATGCAAGTAAATGTCGTATTTAGAGTGGCGCAGTCATTGGCATGTTTAGTGCCTTATGTCAGGGCAGTAGAGCGGTACAGTTTCTGGAGCAGTTAGAAAACTGACCACTCCCAGATAACTCCCTGCCGTTTTAGTGGAACCTTGGCTGCCTGGAAGCTGGGTCCCAGGTCACGGCTTTCATTATGCAGTAAGAGACAAAAGGCACAAAATACAACTTGCCTAAGGGAAGCAGAACTTTAAAATAACAGAATGCCCAATGGCATTATTTACTGAAACCATGTGACTCTTTTTCCAGTGGAAAAGAAATGACAAATTCAAGGTTAGTGATAAATCTGTAGGGAATATGATGTTTGGAGCAGGAGGGAGGTGCTGTAAGAGAGCCCAGAGGAAAGGCACAGGTGGCCTCAGCTGAGTACTGGAAGCTGCACACGGTGGTGTGTGAGCACTGTATGTCCCCCAGTGGCTTCTAGGGGCTCCTTTCCAGTGAGGAATTGGGGGAAATTTCTCTTACTTCCACATGATAGTATTCTGACTATTTTTCATGATTCTGACGAAGTTTTTCATGATTTACAAATATTTAAAAGTTAAAAACAGCATATTTCTGTTGAATATCCCTTTTTTCCCCTTTTTTACATTACAGGTGAGTTTACACCTGAGATGCAGGTGAGAATTCGCCAAGAGATTGAGAAGGAGAAAAAAGTAGAGCCATGGAAAGAACAATTCTTTGAAAGCTACTATGGTCAGAGGTAATACCAAGACAGGTTCCATAAACCAAATGTGAATTCCTACATATGTGTTACACAGTGTTTCATCTTAACTACCTTTGCAGAAATTCTAGTCCTTAATTTCCTTCTATTATTTTGCCAGGTTTGTTTTTTTTTTTTTAAGATTTTATTTATTTATCTTACAGAGAGAGTAAGAGACAGAGCATGAGCAGGGAGGAGGAGGCAGAGGGAGAGGGAGAAGCAGACTCCACACTGAGCAGGGAGCCTGACACGGGGATTGATCCCAGGACCAAGGATCCTCTGGGATCGTGACCCGAGCCAAAGGCAGACGCTTAATCTGAGCAATGCAGTGAGCAACGCAGGCGCCCTCACCAGTTCTTCTTAACCAAGATATTTTTTCTTTTTATGAATCACGGGTGTACAAAATTGGGTTACTTGACTCCTGACACGTTACCATTGTGGGTGGGATGTTTCATTTAAAAAAAATTATTATCTCGAATTGGAGTCCCTTTCTTTGAATAATCTGAGTTGTTCTTCCAGTAATTTTATAAGTTACAAGAATACGGAAGTTTTTTTCTAACAGTTAATTATCCCACAAGATGGTAGTTCATCCAGAATCACCAAGGAGTGCTAGGAATCCCGTAATATGAACCATTACACCCAGGGCATCGTTAAACAGCCTCTTCTCTCTAGAAGGCACTCTGGCAGGTCTTCACAGCTGCATGAAGATATAAACCCTGTTCTCAAGGGGATGATTTTCCTAATAAAAAATCTAAATAGGGGCACCTGGGCCCCTTAAGTCCGTTAAGCCGCTGCCTTTGGCTCAGGTCATGATCTTAGGGTCCTGGGATCGAGCCCCACATCGGGCTCTCTGCTCAGCAGGGAGCCTGCGTCCCCCTTTCTCTCTGCCTGCCTCTCTGCCTATTTGTGTTCTCTCTCTGTCAAATAAATAAATAAAATCTTTTAAAAAAATCTAAATAAAATGTTAATGGGGACATTTAAATAGATGACAGTGGAGCTCTGTTGTTTGAGGTAGAATTGAACATCCAGAGAGTTACTGGTTTGTCTCCCTTGTCTTCTGCATACCTAATGGCAGACCTCAAGAACACTCCGCAACCACAGTTGGACAACTACTGGCTCTTTTTCTTATCTCCCAGTAGTTCATCGATCCCCTTTATGGTCATGTAGGAAGTGATTCCTTTTGTGGTTAAGAGTCTCTCGTATGGGCTCGCCTGGCTGGCTAAGTTGGTAGAGTGTGCAATTCTTTTTTTTTTTTTTTAAGATTTTATTTATTTATTTGACAGAGAGAGGCATAGTAAGAGGGGCAACACAAACAGGGCGAGTGGGAGAGGGAGAAAGCAGGCCTCCTGCTGAGCAGGGAGCCCAACGCGGGGCTCGATCCCAGGATTCTGGGATCATGACCTTACCCAAAGGCAGACGCTTAACGACTGAGCCACTCAGACGCCCCTGAGTGTGCAACTCTTAATATTGGGATTGTGTATTTGAGCCCCATGTTGGTCTTAAAAAAGAGTCTCATATATTGATATTTTTACACTCTTGGTATGAGCTTTGAGCCTTTCTACAGAAATGATGGTATTTCCATTAGACTCTTGTCACAGGTAGATGTCACTCCGTAAATATTGTACATTCCCTCTGTAGGCAGATAGAGCATTGTAGCAGTTTTGGGGTCTTTTTGTTTTCATCTGTTACCTTTTTTTGGCCAACATTTACAGGAGGACTGTTTTTTTTTCTTATTGTCTATTTTTGTTGTTAGCCACTCTATCCCAGAGGTACAGTACTGATCATTTGAAGTCACCAAAGAGGGTCTCCTGCCTTTGCCTGTTTAAACAGTGTGCTAAAAGACTATAAGGGGTCTCTGGTGACCTCTGCTGAGTAGCCTAATACTAATGGGGCCACACTGTGGAAGTCCCAGTTTATCATCACTCCCAGGACAGCTCGGAGTCATTTTTCTCAGCATTATGGAACTATACTAAGTGAAGTGTAAACGGGCTTTCCAGAAATTCCAGAGTTCTAATTTTCAACCTATGGAAAACATTGACAGCCACCTCCTCCTGTCTCCTCAGGGGCCCGTAGACTTCTTGGGCTGTCCTTTCTGCAGGTGCTACAGAGCAGAGTTGATGAGGGTGCGTGGGTCTCGGCCTTCTTAAACTTCCTTTGTGGGTAGTCTGTGATGCTTGCCTCTAGACATGGTAGCCCCTTTTATAAGCATAAATAATAATGACAATTAACAGTATCAAGCTTTAATATGTGCTAGGTACTGTTCTAAGTACTTTATATGCATTAATTTAATCACACCAATAACATAAAGTAATGAACCTCACTATATGATGAGGAAACTGAGATACAAAAGACTAGTGACTGACTTAATGTCACATGTGTGTATCAGAGCCAGGATTTGCCTCCAGACACTTGAGATCCAGAGCTTCACTAATCATAATCATAATAATGGTGGTGATATATGAGGAAAAGCTACTCTATGTCAGGGTTTCTTCCGGGCATTGCCACATACTATTATCTCCTAATACGTTTAGTAACATGGGCCATTCCTCAACTAGGATATTTTTTTCTTCCACCTTTTAGTTCTGGTTTGAGCCTTGAGGATTCAAAGAAATTGACAGCCTCGCCCAGCGATCTCAAAGTAAAGAAAACCCCAGCTGAGCAACCAAAATCCATGCTTCCTTCAGAGGCCTCGCCTGTCAGTGTCCTCCTAGGAATTCCCCAGTTAGGGTCAAAAGAAGAAGTGGTGCAACTGCCATCCCCAGTAAGAAAAGAAGAGCATGAAAGCCAAGATACGGTGCAGCCAAACCCCAAATCCACAGAGCCCCTGCTTCCCTCAGCAAGCAATACGCAAGAGCTTAGCAGTGTTCTTCCCATCAAGTGCCCAAAGGATGACAGTTTCTTGGAGCAGAAGCCAGTTGCCTCTGCTGAACAGGAGTCTGAGAAAGAGAATCATCTCACCACAGTTCCTAGTTATAACAAAGATGAAGGCCAAGAAGCTTTAATTACGTCCCCAAACAAACCCAAGAGTCCTGGGGTGGAAAAACCAGTAATGAAGCCCATGGCAGAAGCTGGTCCACAGGAGATCACTGCAAAAGACCCTCCATCGGCCCCGGTTGATCACAGCCCAGAAAGCCTCAAGAGGAAATCTTGTCTCATCCAAGAAGAGGGCCCTGTGAGCTGGGAAAAAAGGCCACGTGTCACGGAGAATCGCCAGCACCAGCAGCCATTTCAAGTCTCGCCACAGCCCTTTCTCAGTAGAGGGGACAGGATCCAGGTGCGAAAAGTACCACCTCTCAAGGTAAGAGAGTGGGAAGGATTGAAAGAAAATGTCTGAACACTAAGTTTCTGGTCTTACTTAATACCAAGTCATTCGTGGTGTTTTTAACACAGAAGCAGTTGTATATATTTGATAAGCACGTAACTGCGTTCTTACATGAACAAAATTATGACTAAACAGGCATTTAGAACTGCGTTCCTACAGATCTGTATTAGTGTTTTGGTAGTAAGGAAAGTGCCTGGATATCTAACTAATGTAGACCACCTCCACCCATCCTCCTGGCTGGCCATTCTTAAGATAGTTGTGGACATTATTCTGTCTCATGTGACAAAACAAGAAATATAATAATAATAAACAGAAGGAAGCCCTTGGTGTGATCAAGAGATCTTTGTGGCAAGAGCCATGACATTTTACATGTACCTTGGTCCTTTTCTTACTGCCATAACTGATTGGATGTTCTGTGGCTCTAGAACTACCTTTAGTTCCCCCCTTTTAAAGGAAACCTGTGTGGCTGCTGTGAGTCACTGCTGGTTACTTGAGGGACATCAGTAAGGTAGACTAGCCTTGCTAAGCTCTGCTGCTAAGGCTTTGTCCCTGACTTTCATGTTAGCATTCTGTTGCTACTTAGCAAATATTTCACATTCATAAAGCGGTTTCCTTATCTGAGTATACAAGAGTGCATCTAACCAGTAGTGAGCCCTTTAAAGCCCAAACACATTTTTACTTCTGATCTAAAGTTTACTAATACTTGGGCTTGTGCTTAATATCAGCTTGCAGTTCATTTTTTCATTTAGTAAATAGTATATATTAATAAATTTTTACTAGTGGTGTTTATTAATACTGTTGTGTCTACTGTCAGCCCAGACATAAGGTAGTATTCATTCACGTTAGAAATGTAAATAGAAAAAGAAGCCACATAGAAATACTTTTTCCCTCTTTTTTATTTAACTTAGATGAACCAAAGCTAGTTCCATCAGATAATATTCCTTAGAGACATTCAGTTGCTAGTACTTGACCCATTTAACTTACTCTCTGTTTTTCTCTCGTGTTGCTTCTTAATTACTAACTGTATGACGTTCTCATTACTTTTTAATTTTAAGATTTATGCACTTAGGAATCTCCCTTTTTTAAAAACAAATGTTTGCCATTTTTCCACCATTAACATACTTTGCATGCTTTGCCAGAGATTGTGATTTTTTTATGAAAATCACTTTACAATTCTTTTATCCCCCACTCTTACTGTTAGAAAAATATTAGAAACCTTTCTGTAATGAATGTCAGTCAGAACTTCTGTGCAGACCTGAGAGCTGAGTTACATTTTACGTTTTACTTAATATAGATGATACTGTGAGGTGTGTCATTTCTATTTCCTCATCTTTATAGAGGCTGACTTACATCCTGCTTGGTCTGCTTCCCTAATCCAGAGAGGCCCCACACTGAAAATTAAAGTCCACCATGACGTGTTATTGTTACTCAATTTTTTCCCTTTCTTTTGCTTTCTTCTTCTTCCTTACGCCCTCCACCCCCCCCTGCAGAATACTTTGTACCAGAAGTTGCTTTAATAACTCTTGCCTTAGGCCTGTATCTCAAATTCCACTTTCTTTGTTTGTTTCTTTTTTTTTTTTTTTTTTAAGATTTTATTTATTAGACAAAGAGACACAGCGAGAGAGGGAACACAAGCAGAGGGAGAGGGAGAAGCAGGCTTCCTGTGGAGCAGGGATCTTGATGCAGGGCTCAATCCCAGGACCCTGGGATCATGACCTGAGGTGAAGGCAGACGCTTAGTTATCTGAGCCACCCAGGCGCCCCATCAAATCCTACTTCCTTAGACAAAACTTAATGTAATTTATAACAGAGCAAAATCTTTTAACCAAAACTTAAGTAGAAAAATAAAATCTTATTACAAATGTTATTCATGTGTATATATGTTATATACATGCATATGTATGCACTTACATGTCATAACATGGATGTCTGTACCATAATACGTACAGAGAGAGATGGAAAACGGTGTTTCCTATTTGGTATGCATCTGTTCTATTTTATTAAGAATTTGTTTATTAATTTGATAGAAAGAGCGAGGGAGAGCTAACAAGCTAACAAGGGAGAGCTACCCAGGCTGGGGGGTAGTAGGGGGAAGGGAGAAGCAGGTTCTCCAGGGAGCAGGGAACCCAACGTGGGGATCCATCCCATGACCCTGAGATCATGACCTGGGCTGAAGGCAGGGGCTTAACCAACTGAGCCACCCAAGCGCCCCATCTTTTCAGGATACATGAAGAAAATCGACCTTGCTTTACCAGGGTAGGGCTTCTTGTTTATTTGTTACCAATGCCCAGACAACATAAACAGGTTATAGAGCTATTTACATAAATAACTGAAACTTACTATTTTTATGTATTAAAACTTTCTCTTTGAACCACTTTTAATGAATTTAGTCAACATGTTAGGAATGATTTTCAGTCATTACAATAGATAGTGTTTATTCTGCTAGGTATCTTGTTATTCTCAAGATTATTCTGATGTAAGGTTGTTTGTCCCTGTCTACAATTCCCCTGAACAACTGTGCTTTTACTTTCTTGGATTTAATTTTCTGGTGTTACCTACTTTCTCCCCTTCCTAGTGGTCTCTTCTAGGTGACATTACCAAGGGGCAACAGTTGCTTCTTTCCCTCTGTTGGTAGCTTCTGAAATACTATGCAGTTAGATGTAAAAGAGATTCAGTGCTAAGAGATTAGGTACATGTCCTGATGTCAGATGTGTGGACTGTGACAGCTGTGACACGATCCCATAGCTCTGACTTCTGCATGACAGAGAATCTGTTTCTCAGGACTACTGACCTTTTGAGAAATGGATATTGCAAATAATGAAAAAATTTTAGTGACTTTATTATTCTTAATTTAAGGACTTCCAGAAGGATGACATGCATTTTCTTAGAGCCCTTTGGCTTACCTTTTTTTTTTTTTTTTCCTTAAATTAAATGCCGTGTAACATCTGTCACAGTTATTTGCTCCTTTAAATTCTGGCAACTTACTAGAAGAGTAAGTTGATGCATCTCTTTGATGCATTCTCATTTAAGTCTGATAGCTCCCAAATCATTGTTTCAGACAGGAGTCCGATTCCTTTCAGCTGCAGTATTTTATGCTGTGAAAATCAGTGGTTTCAAACGTGGTGATGTAGCAGAGTTTCCCAGGAAGTGTTGCAGAAGTGCCTATTTTCTCTAGAGTTCTAATTTGTCAGTTTTGGGAGAGGACCCAGAGCACTTTATTTTTAAACAGCTCCCCAAGTAAGTATAAAGGCAGCCATAGGTGAAAATGACTGTGGCGAACATTATATACATTCTGTCTATACTCCCTTCGTGTGGATGGACGGAGTGGGATACCTCTGTGGATCCCACGTGGTCTACCTTCCAGTGCTATCTAGACACCTCAGTCATTGAGCTAACTCAGCTTCTCTGCTTAAGTGTGCATGTGTGTATGTGCACTGAGCAGAAGAGAGCAAGAATTTTCCTCGCAGCTTAGAAGGAGAGCTAAGAAGGAAAAGACAGTGGTGCAGTGGTATGCTGCTTCTCTCACGCACGCATGCGAAAGTGCAAATACCCTGCGAGGTCTGAACCTTAAGTAATAAGCTGTCGTGAGTAGTAATGCCAGGAGGAGGGAGTTGTGTTGAGAAAAGAGGCATAGGGATTCAGGGTGGGGAGGGTGTCGGGGGAGGAGAGGCTTTGGCCCCAGGAGAGGAGGTGGAAGGACCCTAGGGGCACAGTCGCGTTGCTGTCTCCACGCTTAGGTCTCTCGGCCATGGACCTCCCATTTGTGTCACTGGTGTGCAGTGGTTACTGGAACAGTTTAAGCGTCTGGAAGTTGTGTTTTTCTTGTCGATGAAAACTAAGCTCCGGGTTTTTTTTCTCCCTCCTCCTTTCAGATCCCGGTCTCCAGAATCTCCCCCATGCCTTTTCCTACATCGCAGGTCTCTCCCAGGGCTCGTTTTCCAGTCTCCATCACTAGTCCTAACAGAACAGGAGCCAGAACTCTCGCAGACATCAAAGCAAAAGCCCAGCTGGTCAAAGCACAGAGGGCTGCCGCCGCCGCCGCTGCCGCTGCCGCCGCCGCCGCCGCCGCAGTTGGAGGGACCATTCCGGGACCTGGCCCCGGGGGCGGACAAGGTCCAGGAGAGGGAGGTGACAGGAAAACTGCTGGAGGAGGGAGTCCAGACTCAGACAGAGGCCGCGAACCTGGAAAGGGCCCCACACTGGAATTGGCAGGAACTGGAAGCAGGGGAGGTACGAGAGAGCTTTTACCCTGTGGTCCAGAGACTCAGCCCCAGTCTGAGACCAAGAGCCCAGACCAGGCACAGCCTCCTCGTGTCTCTGGAGCACAACTACAGCAAGCCCCCTCAGGGCCTCCAGCAGCTGCCGGTGGGGGAGCGCGCGCAAGCGTCCCCTCTCCAGCCTACACTGACGCCCCCCCAGCAGCTGTAGGGCAGCTGACGAACGAACGGCTGACTCCCCCGGGGGCAGCGGCCTCGGTGGCCTCTCTCGCCCACCTGCAAGCTCCCGGGACCTGCCGGCAGGAGACCTCGCCCTCTGCTCCCACAGAGCCTGCTCTCCGCTCAGGTGCCTCACCTGCTCGTTTTGCGGCCGATGGCACCGTCGAGCCCAGCGCGGGTTCTGGTAGGAATGTGCCAGACCTTTCGGCCTCAGCAGAGACCTCTGCTGGCGCTTCTGCAGCTGTGCCTCCCTCTCCTTTAACATCTTTATTGACCGCAGCCACTTTAGAAAAGCTTCCTGTACCCCGGGTCAGTGTAAGTGCAGCACCGACGGGATCGGCTCCATCCTCGAGCACTTTGCCAGTAGCTTCTAGCCTTAAAACTCCAGGAACGTCTTCAAATTTGAATGGACCCCTGTCGAGGCCAAGCTCTAGTATCCCTGCGAATAACCCTTTGGTCACTCAGCTGCTTCAGGGCAAGGATGTTCCCATGGAGCAAATTCTGCCTAAACCTCTCACCAAAGTTGAAATGAAAACTGTTCCACTGGCCACGAAAGAGGAGCCGGGGGCGGCAGTGTTGACAGGCAGCGGCGCCGCTGAAAACAGCAGAGAGGAAGGTGGTGAGAGGCAATGCCTCCCGGCTCTGCAGCAGCTGGGTAAAGCCTTGCCAAGTACGCAGCTCCCTCAGGTTCCAAGACCCCTTCAGCTCTTTTCAGGTAAGGACCTGAGGGACTCTAGCCTCGACGCACACCAGTACCAGGAAGGACTCAGCAAAGCCACCCAAGAGCAGATCCTTCAGACTCTCATCCAGAGGGTTCGGAGGCAGAATGTTCTCCCATTTGTGCAGCCCTCCCAGTTCAACTTCAGTCACTCAGGTTTCCCGTTAGAAGACATCTCCACAAGCCAGAGCTTCATGCTGGGTTTTGCTGGCAGAAGGACATCGAAGCCTGCCATGGCAGGTCACTACTTACTTAACATTTCCACCTATGGCCGGGGTTCAGAGAGCTTTAGGAGGACCCATTCTGTAAACCCCGAAGACCGTTTGGGTCTAAGCAGCCCCACAGAGGCCTTGAAAATGGGATACACAGACTGTAAAAATGCAGCCGGAGATAGCAGCAGTGGCAAAGAAGATACCGACGAGGAAAGTTCCGGTGACGAGCAAGAAGCCATCATGGTGAAGGAGGAGCCCCACGCTGCCCAGGGTCCTGGCAAGTGTGAAGCAAGCTCGGGAACCCACAGTAGAGAAGCCCTGTCCGCCAGTGATTGTTTGGCAAAGAAGAACGTGAAGGCGGAGACGCCTGTGCACGAGCAGACCACGTTAAGCAAGGAGAGTTACCTGTTCACGAGAGGCCAAACATTTGATGAAAAGACCCTAGCCAGAGATTTTATTCAGGCCGCCCAGAAACAGATGGCTCATGTGGTGAGAGGCAAGACGATGCGTAGCAGCCCTGAGCTTTTCAGTTCGACTGCCCTTCCTCTGACCGCAGACAGTCCCACCCATCAGCCTCTCCTCCTCCCATCACTGCAGACCCCGAAGCTGTACGGGAGCCCCACCCAGATCGGGCCAAGCTACAGAGGCATGATCAATGTCTCCACCTCGTCCGACATGGACCATAACTCTGCTGTCCCGGGGATGCCTGACTGTAGCCAGGTGGCCAGCAACGTAGGCGATGTCATGTCCTTTTCGGTGACTGTCACTACCATCCCTGCTAGCCAAGCGATGAATCCCAGCAGCCATGGCCAGACCATTCCCGTTCAGGCCTTTTCAGAAGAGAACAGCATAGAGGACACACCTTCGAAATGTTACTGCCGATTGAAAGCCATGATCATGTGCAAGGGGTGTGGAGCGTTCTGTCACGACGATTGCATTGGCCCCTCGAAACTTTGTGTCTCCTGCCTTGTTGTTCGGTAACAAGACTAGAAAGAGGTTACCTGTGAAGGAGGCAGGGAGGGAAGGATTGATGAGATGTGGTTTTTTTGCGTCCTTTCGGAATCACAGAAATAACTAAGTAGGTTTCAGTTGTCTTAAGAGACAAATGTTACTTAATCAGGAATACAGAGTACAGATCTTACGTTGTAGAGGAAGAGCACCTTGTATAGTAAGTCTAGGTCAAGCAAGACTTCGTGAATTTGTGACAAGTTTGCACTTACAAAATCATGTAAATATGTCACATTTTGTTTTAACATTGTTTTCCCAAGTGTTTAGGTAATGATGTATTTGAATTCAGATTTATGTTCCACTTCACTTGACTCTGAGAAAAGTTTAATGCCATGCATGGTTAAAGGAAGCGGTCTCTCTCCTCTCCCTTTCCTAAGAGGCCAGGGAAAGGAAGGAATGAAGGAATGGTCTGGAGAAATGACCATTCAAGCTTATTATGTCATGACGGTCTGACTGCAGGCTTTATTTAAGATTATTCAGCCTTCGCGGGATTTGGATTCAGGGTTTACTCAGTCCCTTTACCTTAAACAGAACCTTCTTAAGTTCAAATTTTTGATCCCGTTTTAATTTTACAGGTAGTAATTCAGACTCTGAAAGCTCTTGACCTGGTTCTTGGCTTCCACAAACGAGTACTGTTGCCAAGCTCTCTGCTTGCAATTCATGCCCCCCACCCCGCCCTCAAGGCCCCCTGCCCTGCCCTGAGAACGTGAATGTGGCCCACGATGGGTATGCCCCCCACCCCACCCCGGCCCCTGCTGTTAGCGGGGCCTGGGCGGGGCAGCAGTTCTAGCAGTAACATCCGGGTACTCAGTCACGGGTGCTTACAAACGGCGGGGGTGGGGAGATGCTAGTAGAGCAGGAGCAAAGAGTGTTAGTGACGGGGTGATTTGAACTGTGTGTTTTGTTGGGCAGGGCCTCAAAAAGTGCAGAAACTGAACATAAAGAATTTCGGAAAACGATTTTAACACTAGAAGCAAGGTAGCCTCTCTTTTCCTCTTCTTGCCCAACCCTGTTCCCTCACGGTCTGTAGTCCACTGTTGTGCAGGAGGGAAAGCTCCTTGTTGCCACATTTGCCTGTTCTTTTAAGCCTGTTTTGACCTCCCAGGCATCTGAGGAGTATGGAGTGATCTTACTAGATACTACTTTGAACACAATGTGTGCGCGTGTACACACACACACACACACACACACACACACAGTAAAAGTTAGATACTTCTCCTGTTTAAAAAAAAACATATCCTCTGTTTTAGATTACTACTGTCTATGCACTAGGAATCTCTAATGTAAAGGGCTTCAGTAAATGGTTAAGGGAACATCTAGAAAGGAAGAGAAATTAACTCCAAAGTTTTGTTGCTTGTTGTTGTTGGTTCTTTTTGGTTTTCCTTTGTTGTTTTTTAAATTTTTCACCAGTGACTGAGGAGTTTTTGAGAGCATACATTTAGGTCCTGGTTAAAGAACATTAAAATGAATCTACAGTTTACCACAATTCGGTATTGAAGAATTGGGTATTGTCATTGTGCATCATTGCATATTGATTTCAAGTTTCCCGATTTCAGGTGTGTGAAGTAAGAATATTACTGCTGCCTAGTACACTTATAGCTGTGCTTAGTGTTCAGGATGTGATACTTACCAAATGCAGAACAGTGTAAATTTATTAAGTCACATTCCAGATGAGGAGAAAGTAGACAGTAATACTCTTTGCTCTTCCCCATTCTGTTCCCCATTCTTCCCCTGTATGCTTTTAATACTTTTAATACTTTTGAACCCCATAAGAAACCTACTACTTGACTGTTTTTTGAGTTTCTGCTTCTGTTATTTTTTGTGGCTCAAGGCAAATACAAGATTATTTGTTCTAGTTTCAGCCAAGATAATAGGATGTCCTCCTAATTCCCCTTTTTCTTCCAGCACACACATAGCTAAAAAATACGAAGGCTACAAGGATCCTGGGATAAGGAGTAAGTTCTTTAGCCACAATCCAGTAAGAAAGAAATATGGTTCGCTTCCCCAAACTTTCAGTACTCGGGGTAGATCCAAGGGCAGGGGTGAAAAGGACCTATTATTGCTGGTTGAAACTCTCCACCCTCAGCTTCTTCACTCCCCACGTCGGTGCCAGGCCCGAGGGCTGGTCTTTGTGCTGGAAGTGCCTGAGTATTTCAGAACTGACGCCGTGCTAAATGTGAATTACCGATTCGGATTGATCAAAGTGAACTTTCTTCTTTGCACCTTTCCTGTCATAGGAAGCCTCTCCTCCGCGGTTCCCCTAATCTGAGGTTGGACAGACTAACCAGGAGAGGAGGAGAGGGATCAGGGATTTTCAAGTCCATTGGGAGAGCAAACCGTAGCGTGCCTCTTCTTCTTGACCAGGCTCTTGCAGATCGGTCCTAAGCATTATTATTCCCCAGATTCTCTTAACAACTAATACTCAGCTAATAAAATACTTGCATTTGTGAATGTCCCTAAAACAGGATTTGTCAACTAGGTACACTGCCTCAATCTTGACCGAATGAGAGACTGGGTTCTCTCCGGTTGGTAGTGTAAATTGAATACAACCTGTTTGTCTGTTTCACAACAGTGGTTTCAGGTAGAAAGTCATTCATTCTCAGAGCTAAGCAGAAAAACAACAGCAGCAATCCAAACACGTTAACAGTCTGGCCCTTTTGAAAATGAAGCAGTAGAAACAAGAAAAATCTTTATATTATTGAGAGCATGGTACACCGGTATCTTTAAAGCAGTTTTTTTGTCTTAGGTTTTCGGAGTTGCTTTACCTTTCAGCTCAGTCTGAAAGGTTACTAATAAATGCTGAGCTTTTTTTTTTTTTTTTTTTTAATGGCATTTAGTTGCACTATTTCCAGTGACTAGTCAGGCATTATGCCTGATGCTTATGCCTCCAGGGTATGCTTCTCGAGCCTGAGCCTTCCGATACCTTCCATTGTAGGTCACCCTGGGGAGATAGCATTAACAATGACTATGTCATCTCAGTCTTAATGACTGTTCTGAGTTGTCTACTAGTAGAGAAGGCTCCCTGAATCTGAAAAAAATTTTGATAAAAATTCTCCATCCTGTTAAACAACCTGGGGTGGTTCGCTCTACTATTCCTTATCCCCTATGCTCAAGATACTGAAACTATCTGTGGTATCCCATGTAACATTTCTAAGAATAAGATCTGGCAAATGGGACATTTTTCTCGGAGAAGGGGAAGCATATTTGCATGGGCTGGGAAGGCACCCAGATGTAGGGGTTTTAAGAATTATCTCATTCAGATAGCCAAAGGAAGACCTCATTGCCTTCCGGGGGAGGGTGTAAATTCATACATATTGATGACTTGACAGTTACCATCCTAATCGTTTATTATTGCCTTTCTCCACCTTAGAGCCCTTAAAAAACTCTTGGGTGAAATGATTTGTTATAATGAGGGGGTCTTCTCTGGTCATTACACCACTATTTATTTCTAGAACTCTTTATCAGTGAGCAGTGCCAGGGTTTCTCTCTGACCTAGAGGTTGCTTTTCATAGCAAGGAGGGAGAAGTCCCCGTTGCATTGCAGCAACGTGCTAAGTAAAAATACTTGGCCAACGGTAGTTTTCAGCTCAATTTATAGAATAGTCCAAAGAGACTGAGAAACATGATGATGGGCAGGGATCTTTTCCTACCATGTTTCAATACCTACGTACCTATTGAAAGGGAACAATAGGTAAAACATTTCCTAAAGTTGAAGTAAGAGCTTCATAGATTCTTGGTTACTTTATTTTTTTTAATGCTTTACATTTGATACAACTATTAAAGATCAATTTTAAAAATAGCTTTCCAGTAATATATTTTAAGTAATATATATTTTAATATCTATGTAAAAAGTGACAGTGGAAGACTTCGATTTCTCATATATGGTATGTTTATGTAGGACCTCACTGTTAAGGCACAAATTATTACAAAGGAAGTTACTCTAAAGACACTCAGATTATTTCCAAAAAAATGCAATAAGGGGAATAGTTTTGGAGTTTATTTTTTATTTTAAAAGAAAATCGACTTATTTACCACAAGCTATTTTTTTTCCTTCTGGCTTATAAGGTTTGTACAGACTGGTTTGGTAAATGCTAAACTTTTGTGTCTTTTGCCTTTTTAAAGGAATTGTTAACATTGGAATTGAGGGTATGTACAGAGAAGTTGGTGTCAACACCATTTAAAAAGTCATATTTTTTCACAGATATAGAAAAATCATTTTACATAAGAATTTTAAGTATTTGCAATAAATATATGTATATAGATTGTATGTATTCATATATTCTTATTTTTCATTTTATTATTAAGTAAAAGATAATTAAAGTGAAAATAAAAACCTTGGAGTTTTTGGTGAATCTTGAGGTCTGACATCCATCTGAGAGCGGTGTGGGAAGGGCCCTCAGCCGTTGCCTTATATTACCATTGGAAGATTACTACAGATTGTCTAGAAGAGTAAAATGAGAAATTCGGTGATAAACAGTTCAGGGTAGCACATTTCTTTCAGAACTCTAGTAAAAATAATAAATTTGCCTAATCTGTCTGTCTCTGTTTTCACCCTTCAACTGTTCCGTCTCTTAACTATGGGATGTTATTGGGAACTTCAAAAACAAATACAAAAACATGGTGCGTGCATTTTTTTTTTTTTAATGTGCCCACTATTTGCTTCTAAAACAAAGAATGGTTAAGAAAATATCTCAGGGGTAAAGATAGGTTTTTCTTTCTCTACAGTGGTTAATAATTCATTAGCAAACATTCACTGCCACCAGCTTCCAGGTGTAGGAGTATGTGAAGAAACAATGTCATGAAGACAATCGAAAACTTGTTTTCTGTTTCCCAGTTCTTCTCTGAGAAGTGAGTTTCCTAACCAGTTCTGTATCCTTCCTGATTGGTCGAGAGGGGGAGTTTCCTAACAGTTTTAGGGCTTTTCCTGATTGATCCGGAAAGCTAGAAGAGCTAGGAGAACTTGGATTTTGATCTCATTAGTGTCAGAAAGGGAATTTATGCAAATGAGGACTGAGCCAGATACTAGGACGGCTTAATTCCCCTTAGTCCCCATACCTACAGATAGCCTGGATCCTGCTGTTCAAGAGAATTTTGTGGTTGCAAAAACTTGGTTTTAGGATATGATTGAAGGAGCAGAATGGTACCTAGATAGTCTTTGGTAATAAAGATATCTAGCCCATTCTTTAAAAATGAATATAGACTGGATGAAATAAAAAATGTCAGAACTTCATGAGTGTATCTTAGTGACCCATGAAACTGGCTTTTTGTTCTAGTTCCCTAGTTCTCCCCATAATCGCTCAGCTGTGGTTATTTTCACTGATAAAAAGCATATTTTGGAAATTAATAAGGATACAAGAATGCTGTTTAAAAGATCGCCTTGTTATTTTTCAAAAATTGAAATTTCAAACGTTGTTGCCCAAAGACATTGAAGATCATTTACCAGTCCAAGAGAACAGCATTCTAAATCTTTGCTGAAAATATGCTTTTTCTAAAGGAAAATTCTGACGTCTCAGGGAACATCTGCATTCATGTAATTCCCATATGTAATAGGAGGGAAAGTGAAATATTTAAATGTGTGTGAACCAGCCCATTATGGCCGTTTCCAGACATGTCCTCCCCCACCCTCCAGCTTGCTGTTTCTTGTAGATATTTGTAATTATTTAAATGGGCCTCCTACCTCACCAGAAGTGAAATTCATATTCAGGTTAATGACCTA